GGAATAGGATTAAGAAGTAATCCTCACTAATAAAGTGGTGTGGGTTAGAAATGAAGTGGAAATTGTCAGGGGTCTTCTACAGGACCTAGGATGCCCCAGCTTCTGCAGCTGTCTGCTCACCTTGTAATTGAATGTCTGAGAGTGATTGAAAAAATGTTATTTCTCCTCTGGATTACATGCTAATGTACAGAGGGCAAAGGGAGACAGCAAAAGAACACAGAGCTGCTTATTTCATCTATTTGTGGGGATGAGCTTTGGGAAATCATGGCAGTTCTGTAGCTATCTGATGCCCATCTGCAGACACAATGTATTTGTACATTGGGAATAGAAGGTAAAGCTGCTCTGATCTCAGCAGAGCATCTCTTCTATTGTCCTAGTGGCACACATTAAGATTGATGCGAGATTAAAGACCATCACCCTCCTAACCATCGATGGAAATGACAATTCATCTGCATTTTTTGGCAGCTATTCACCCATTGATTACCTGAATGTGTGTACCTCATTTATAGACACTTTATTAATTCAGACCTGGGCATGTCATGCTCATATTTTCCAATTGTTTTACAAGTTATACAATACACAGATAATATTGCCACAAAGTAACTTAATTCCCTTCTCTCTCTTAATCAGTTGGATGACAAACCTAAGGTGTTTTTCCCCCTGTACATGTTGTTTTATTTAATAGGTTCTGTATTGTTAGAACTGTGCTGAGCCTATTGTTTTCAGTAGTAGTCTGATTTGTCTCTGTGATAAGCCCTGTGGAGATGTGATTATTCCAATAAAAATTCATTCAGTTGGAAACCAACCCTCCAGCTGTTTACTCCCACAGTCCCCGAGCTACACTAACACTATATAGAATCCTTGAGCAATATTTAACAGTGGCCTAAAAAGCATTTTAAAAACATTTTCTTTACAGTCCCAAGCACTGAGAGTTTAATCTTAACAATAGATTTCTACCAGGTATGAGAGAGAACACATTTAGCTGGGGTAAGTTAGATAACTTTCACCATAGGCTTGTGTTCATCTTTTGAGAATTTGATGGAAACCCCCAGGTTCTTAATGCACACATTTGAAATGAAGAGTTCAAGTCCTCTTTTATGCATGTTCTCAGTTATTTTAGTAACAAAAGGCAGAGGCTTATCAAACTGTTTCAAAACTGGAATGTGGCGGAATAAAACTAGGTTCTGTTACAATAAAACCACCTCCTTGGCATATGTAATGTATGCACCAGTCTGCAGCTGTAGCTGCTTCAGTGTTTGACAGTGCAGAGCGACTGCAAATCTATTACACATGCTTTTTCCTGGTTTTTAAGTTTGCTTTTTACAGCTAAAATCTCCAGGATTTTTTTTACTTGTATTTTGCATTCAGAAAATAATCTATACAAGGTCTGCCTAATGCAGCCTATGCTTGGTTTGTGCTAGGCCCTTTGCGTGTTTTGAACCATGGTGGTGTTTTTGTGCTTTGGCAGGTCCAGTTAGCCTGTGTACACCAGCTCAGCTTGTGACACCCTC